TTCCTTTTTGTCTTTTTTACTGACCAGTAATGGGATCGCAACCCTTGGCTGAGTGAGCCACGGGCCGGCCCTAATTTTTTTTTTTTTCCTTTTTGTCTTTTTTACTGACCAGTAATGGGATCGCAACCCTTGGTGTCATGCCCGTACCGGGGACCGGCAACGGGATCGCAACCCTCAGTGTTGCGCCCGCACCGCGCTCAGCCAGTGAGCGGGAACCGGTCTCCACATGGGATCCGAACCCTCGGTGGGAGCGCCGCTGCACTTCCAAGCGGCGCACTCTCCAGTGTGCCACCGGGCCGGCCTTCCGATGGCTTTTATGGATACACCACTAGTGTTGGTTTTATCCAAAACCAAAGTCAAGGTAAAATTTCACAATCACACATGGCTTTTACCTCCATGCCTTGAGGTTTTGTCACCTTACCTCTGGCACAGGTCTCAGTCCCTGAGTTCTGAAGTGTCAGATTTGGAGTTTCATCAGCTTCACTGTGTGGTGCAGGTGACAAGATCCCCAGGAGCCTGGTTAGTAAGGCAGAAAGGAGGCTCGTCCGTGCCAGTTGGAGATGTGGTTGGTGCCTCAGACAGTCTCTGTGTCTGGTGATGCAGACGTGTTATTGAAAGCAAGGGGCTCTTCAGAGTCTGGAACTGGAATGAGGGAGCGTGAATTGTTCCAGAAGTGTGTTGCTCATTTTACTGCCTTCAGGCAGCTTGAGTTCACAGCCAAACCATTCCCGTCTGGCAGTGAGTGACAGTAATCAGAGTTTGGGCACTGTCTTCCCTGGGCAAGGGCCCAGTGTGACATTCTTGGTGTCACTTTCTCTGAACTCCTTGATGTTCTTGACGGTTTCCATGCCCCTACACAAGGGGCCAATGTGTACCTCCATCAAAGGCAAGTCTTGGCTACTGGACATGTTTTTGTTTATCACTGGTACCCTCGACCCCCTGTCCCCTCCATAGCAAGTGGCAGGCCTCCCCCATGTTGACCTGGTGAGGGAGAGCAGAAGGAGGGAGGGCAGTGGGCCCTGAACCCCATGGGACAAACCTGATGCCCTGGAGTGTGCAGAACTTTGGGAGATTCACTTGGAAACTACCAGAGGAGAATTTCCAGATAGTCACAAACCTGTTCCACTCACAAATGTAGAGTAAGCATCTGATTTGTTCAACTCTGTAAAAGGAGAGCCAGCAGCAGGTGAAGCTGGTCAGAGGAGAATTGGAGGAACTGTGGTCACCAGGTGTAGAGAAAGAACATGGAGGGGAGTTCCAGGTTTTGTTCCCAGGCTGCAAAACTGGTTCAGTCCTTAGAGCAAAATAAAATCACAATCTCTGGGGCAATCTTTTCTGCTAGACAGAAATCATTTGCACCTGTCTTGGACATAAAGACCCACAAGTTATCATGTAGCTTTAGAATCTGGCCTTTAATTTAAAAAAAAGACAAAAAACAAAAGACCAACTCAAACAGAGGTACACTCCCTATGTAATTCAACAATCATTGTTGGGCCTGTCGAACTAAGTTCCAAAATGTCATTAAAAGTACATGCTGGTTTTTCTTTGCCTTTTTCTAAATTTCAGGTGATTGTTTCTTCACGGAGTCACGCAGCAGAGCAAAAGTCAGGCTTGTGGGGGTAGGGCAGCCCCTTTGTAGCTCCCAGAGCTTGGTCCCTCTACCACCTGGCCTGCCTGGCCCCCTGCATAGGGGCCCAGAGTCATGGGTGGAGGGCACCGTGGACTTGACCACTGCCCACACTCCATACTCCGAGGGGCTGCCATCAGTCCCCAGGTCTTGACAACCATCTCTCTCTGACTCCTCTGGAGACACTACAAGTGCATCTAATGGTCTAAATGTAGCAACCACAGAGAAGGGGAAAAGCCCCATCCCAGGACACTCAGGGGAAATTACCCAGCCCTGTTGCCTCCAACCCCACCAGGACCCTGGGAGGCAGGAGGCCATGAGTGAGCAGACAGGGTCAAGGCAGGTGGTGAAGGCTGATGCATGGTGATCAGTCAAACTGAGGCAGTACCCGTATCTTCAGAGTCCAGGACAGGCCTCCACTCTCTGCACAGCCTTCCCAGGATTGTGCTAAATTCAATTCTTTGTTCTCACACACAGCATAGCCATGACTGGTCACAGATGAACAGGCCATGTGTCCCTGTAGGGATGAGGTAGGGAGTGCAAGGACTCCCCTGCCAGTCCTGAGCAGGGCAGCACCCAAGGCCACACAGCTCATATGGTCAGGCCCCATCCCTTTGAGCTCCAGAGCCACCCATGACCACGAGTCTCCTGAGTCCCAGGCCCAGATGGTGCTGGGTGACCAGGCTCCCCGAGTGGGTCTTTAACAGAACCCAGCAGAGACTGAAGGTCTTATTGCAATGGACTCCTCTCTGGAAAAGGGCAGGGAACAGTTGTGTACGTGTAAGTCATGCATATGTATATGTGTGTACCCATGTATCATCTTAGCAAGAAGGACACTAAATGCCAGATGAGGAAAGTAAGACCTATCTTGCATTTTACTGCAGCTGGGCCATGTTTAGAGAGAATGTGAAAGAAAAGAGATTAGGAGAGGAAGGTTGAAAAGAGATAAAGTTAAATAAAATTTTAATGTATATAAAAATACACTTAGATCTGTGGGTATAAACACATATGCACAGCATGTCTCAGCCTGTGCAGGAGGCACATCTGTACAAAGCGAAGGTGGGTGGTTTACCCCACCTGTCAGGTCCATGCTGGTGACACACTGCCAGATGCTTGCCTTCTCCAGACATCTCAGTCTATGTGGTTCCCACCCAGCTGTCCATAAGGAGAGACAATTCCAAGATGCTGATCTAACAATGCCATCTTCCCTAAGACACTCGTACATGATAATAAAGCCAGAATAAACACACGCGGCTGTAAGTTGATCCAGCCCAAGCCCCGCCAAGGCTGGGTGGTGGGTCTTCTCTTACCTGCTGCTTCTGCGTGAGTAATTACATCATGTTTCTGGGGTGGAGGAGTGCGGGAAACAATTTTTGATACAGCCTACCTAGCCCACAGGAGAGAAGCATTTTCCATCAGGATACGTGTAGTAAGCTCAAGTAGTGTAAAAACATGCTTCAGATCCCAGTCCTGGCCCCTTTGTTAGCTTGAGGATCTTGAGAAGGGGGACAAGGAAGCAGGGTGGGGGCTTAGCACAGGGAAGCAGGGCTGGGGTGGGACGGATGATGGTGGCAGGACAGGGAGGAGAGAACCCAGGCAGGGGCTGGAGACAGAGAGAAAGGAGGCAGCCCAGGGAAAGCAGGAGCCTTTAAAAGATGAATCCCACTTCTTCCCTGCTGCCCCAAGGGGCAGGGGTCTCCAACCATGAAACACCCATTGGCTCTCAGAGAAACCAGAGAAAAAAGAAATGGGCTTCAGCTTTATGGTCTCGTCCTGTCCGGGGCAGAAATATTGACATCCGCACTGCCCACCAGGCCATGGGAGGTAAGACCTGGCTCACACTTGCGACATTTGAAATACAATTGGCTTCCTGGACCACACCCAACACTATGTTTACAATAGACATGTCTATTTTTTAAAAAAAATGATTAATTGTGGAAAAATACATGTAACATAAAATTTACCATTTTGACTGTTGTAAGTGCACAGTTCAGAAGCATTGAGTACATTCACTTTGTTATGCAACCAATCTCCAGCACTTTTTCATCGTGCAAAACAGAAACGCTCTACCCATTAAACAGCTGCCATTATTCAGGTCTATGTTTAATGGTTACTTCCTGCGAGAGAATTTTGTCTCCTGCCATCATCCCTGTTTGCCTATTTCCTTCCCACATCCTTCTGTCTCTCCCTC